TCTCACAGAGCTGCTCCAGGCTGCTGCCAGACTCAGGAAGACATTGCTGCGTCCTTTATTCGTTCATCGAGGCATTCATTCATTCCCACTGCAGTAGCACCTAGAGCTCTTGGCACAAGTGACTAGTGCCTCCTCCTGAATCTGGCGGAGCATCCTGGTCAGTATTTGATGTAAGAGGCAAGCCTTTCTTAGGGGGATATCTTTTATTGGACCAGGTATGTAGTTGGGATAGAATTAGGCAAGCTTTCAAATGCAAGACATTCTTCTTCAAGAGACCCGAGGAAGAATATCTTGCATTCAAAAGCTTGTCTAACTCTATTCCAAGTACTTTGTTGGTCCAATAAAAGATATTACCCTAAGAAAACCTTGCCTCATGTAACTTTGGGGCCTTCAGGGCTACAATGTCACTCTTACATGATCAGAATCCTATCAAACTGTGTAAGATTGTCCCTGCTCCCAGGAGCTTCCACTAGAGCCATGCGGGGAAGCTTTTCTCAGTATCTGCATGGCCTAGAAACATCCTTTCTTTAAAAAAAAAAAATTGCATTTTTGCAGAACCCGAATCTGTTACAAAGGCCAGATAAAGACTGGAGGCAGCCTGGGTATTTGATACTACTGCTGTATGGTTGTGGGGGAAACCTTTCTGTCAGGCATGCCTCACACCCTCCCCGAGTCCTTTCCCTGCCCAACCTGCTGCTCTGCTTTTGCTCCCTGCCCTGTGCTCCCTGCCTGCTCTGCTTTGTGCTCCTTGTCCTATCTGCTGCTCTGCTGCCTGCCCCCTCCATGATCTGCCGTGCACCCTACGGAGAGGCTAGTCATGCCACTTGTAGCATGCGTGCTACAGGTTGGCCACCTCTGTTGTAGGGCGTGCCATACTATATATAAACAGCAGGGTTGGGATAAGCATACAGCAGTATATATCATATACTGTGAGGCAGGGGTGGCTTTCAGTGGCATATGCTGTGTAACCTATAGGTTACCATGCACACATTACTGGGGCAAGGGAAAAAAATGATAAGCTAGGGGCAGTGTGTGTGCGCGTGTGTGCGCGCGCGCATGTGCATAATGCATCATACACATATTATTTTTATATATATATGTACACACACACACATATATGTGCACACATGTATGTGTGTATATATAATATATATATATATAATGTGTGCATATATTTATAAAATGGATGCGTGTACATAAAATTGTGTGTATGTATATGTGTGTGGGTATATATATAAAATGTGTGTATAGTGTGTGTATGTGTATATATATATATCTCTGTGTGTATAGATATATGTATGTCTATATCTATATATATAGAAAGTGTGTGTGTGAATAGATCTATGTATGTCTATACCTATATCTATATATATAGAAAGTATGTGTGTGTGTGTACAGATATATATCTGTGTGTGTATAGATATAGGTATGTCTATACCTATATCAATATATATATAGAAAGTGTGTGTGTGTATAAAATGTGTGTGTATAGTGTGTGTATGTGTATAGATATATATCTCTGTGTGTATAGATATAGGTATGTCTATACCTATATCTATATAAAGTGTGTGTGTGTGTGTGTACACTCTGAGGGCAAGGAAGAAATATGCCGCAATATATACAGTACGGGAGGACGAGTCCTGGATTGAAGGAGGGTTCA